TATACCGACTATACCAGATACAGATACAGCATGAAGTACTGTGACCTGAATGACCTGAAAGTACTTGTGCCTGAAATGTGTGTGCCATCTGTAAACTCTTTTGTGCTTTTGGAAGGTACTTGGCAGAATGTCCTGTCTTGTATGTTTTTTTTGCAGCACAGGGATTAGTAGCAAACACATACACAATGTAGGACGAGTGTGAGTCCACTCACTAACATCATAAAATAAATAAGCCATTGCAAATTCCTTCATATTTTGCATTTGGATAGAGAATTCTGCATTTGGGTTGCAGAATTCTGCACCTGAATTCATAATTCTGCGCAGAATTCTGCATCCGAATGCAGAATTCTGCAGAACTGACCTAGTCCCAGGGGACCTACAGTGTATCGATGATACCTATGCAACTTTCAGCAGGTAATATAATAATGTCTTGATGGTTAAGTGTCGTCCGGAATGAGAGTCAGTCCGGAATTAAAGTGTTGTCTGTTTGTAGTATAATATGCAGTTTGCACATAGTATGCACCTATGTGCACTTTGCACATAGCTGTGTGCACTTTGCACATAGTGTGTGCACTTTGCACATAGCTGTGTGCACTTTGCACATAGTGTGTGCACTTTGCACATAGGTGTGTGCACTTTGCACATAGGTATGTGCATTTTGCACATAGGTGTGTGCACTTTGCACATAGGTATGTGCATTTTGCACATAGGTGTGTGCACTTTGCACATAGGTGTGTGCATTTTGCACATACTGTATGGAGAATTTCTCCTTTTAGTTGGGAATGTGTTATTGATAACTTAGTGATTAACACTAAACGGCACACTGCCTTTTGGAGGGTCAAAGCAAAGGGCACAGCAAGTTGTTAATTGTTTGCTTTGTCCTTTTGATGATCAAAAGGAGAGAGCATGCTATTAATAACTTGCTGCAGATGGGTCCTAGTTATACTTATGATCTCCAAGCAGATCTTTGGTGGGCGCAAGACAGTATCAAATTGGCCAGGCTGTATGCATTTGCCATGCAGTGGATACTGTCTTGCAGCCACCAAAAAATCTGCTTGGAGATTACATAGTTTAATACATTAGCCTGGTTATTACATGAAATTTTGATAAAGGAGCAATATGTGATATTTTTGCACCAAAATTGAAATATTTTAGTTTAAAATCATGTAATTTACTTTAAACATGTTTGTACAATAATCTCACATTTCCCAGGACATATGATTGGTGCTAAAACAGCCTACAAAAGGTCCACTTAGTTTGTGGCACCACCACAAAATTCAGGTTACTTTGTATAATAGTGCAAAGAAAGGACCATTAAAATTTTTGTACCATGCTAATGTTTAACGTAATGAATGCAGCTTTAATATAATAAACTGTGTTTGTTATATTTCCATGTACATATGTTACTCTACAGGTGAAGAGGTTCATCCATGAAGTGCTGCCTACCTTGTATCCTTTCATGAGAAATTGTTTAACAACTAACAAAACTCTTTTTTCTATATTATAGTTCTAAGGTACCAGAAAATTCTTAGCATCATTCTATTTAGAAAAAAAATTCTGGTATACGTAGCCACCTTTTAGTCATTCAGTGGACAGTGTATTCTACTACATCTATGTAAGGAATATGGTTATTTGAAAGCAATATGATTAGTACTGCACCTGCACAAAACCCTAATTTTTCAGTTTTCGTTGGATGTTTGGTCAGCTCTGCATCAGAATGTTGCCCGTTGCAGAATATCTTTTCTGACAGAGTATTTGAAAACTGTAGTTGGGATGTCATCCTTTTTCACCCTCCCGAGCAGGGTCAGTGATGCCGCCCAAAAGAGCTGCCGTCACTTAAACCCTGCCAAATCCTGTTTGAAACATCCTGGGTACACTGCATCATGGGTACACACAATGCTCAATACATGACGGGTTTCACACTGTCGCCGCAGTGTCGCGGCACATTCTGCTGACTTTTTAGAAGATCCTTTACTCTTGATAGCCTCCATAGCAGGCTTATAGAACTGGGGGTTGTCTTTGGCTGTTTTTTTTTATGGTAATTCAACCAGGCTGACTGTTGTCTATGTGTAGGCATTTCATCGGTTGTCTATATGTAATCAGAAAGTAGCACATAAAAGACCATGAAGACCCTCAAAACCCCCAGTTTTTGGCATGCTATGGAGGCTATAGTCTTGATTTGTTAACAATTGCACACACATGTACACCTTTGTTTCATCACTCCCTGCATTTATCACACATGGAACACATCTCTCATTTACAATGGAAGGTACAGGGACTGACCAAGACAGAAACTTTCCGAAATCTTGTATTAACTAGAATAAGGTGAGGTGTATGAGGTATTAATTCATGTTATATACTGTAATTCACTTAATGTTCATGGTAGCAAAAGTTCACAGTCTGAGAAAAATGGACATGTTCACGGAACTATATATTCACGGTGGTGACAGGTGCAGGAAAGAGAAAGTCCAGGAATTATTTGTTAACTGTAATGATAAGTTCACGGTACAGAAGTGACAGCAAAAACAGTGAACATAACAATAGGGTAAAAAAAAAATCAGGAATTACAGTAGTTCAAATGGTCCTTCTTTAACAAAGTACACTAGTCACCAAGTGGAGTTCAAGCCCATTGCTGGGAAGAGTCCTGTGCTGCTGTTGTTAGGTCAGGAGGGAGATGTATTGGAGGTAAGGAAAAAGGAAAGATATGTCAGATCTGGTAGAATTGGCTATTGTACTGAACAAGTAGAGATCTAGATCAGAGTCTACAACAGATAGTCTCAGTCTGATCAGAGATTCTGATTGGACTACGATTTGGAGTCTCTGCTGGTGCAAATGCTCAAAATCATACAACACCAGGGAAGAAATACTGGGTGCATGTGCACCTCAGTGCACCCAAATTTGGAGCTGTGCACCCAATTTTTTTCTGTGGGTGCACCAGTGCACCTATTAGATATTTTCATACATACATACATGTAATATGTTAATGTGTAGTAGTACACAGCATACTAGTATTCCTAAAATTCCAAGTGTCAGAAAAATAATAAAGTCATTGTAGAAGTACCTTTCTGTAAGAAATCAAACATTTCCTAACATTCTACTTATTTTTTCTTATATTGTGCACCCCAAAATTTTTTGGTGCACCCAATTTTTTAGGTTGGACCAGTGCACCTATTCCCAAAAATGAATTTCGAGCCCTGAACATACTGCATTAAAAGATACTTAAGTTTGGATTTGTGGCAAGCATAGACCACCAGTACATTGTATTTGAAATTAAATGTCAGTAAATGTGATCAAACTTTTTTGGGTTAAGATATGTTGGGCAATGTTGGTTATAGCAATATGTGCCTGGAATGACCAGGATATTATCAGAAAACAATTATTTAGCACCGTGTCCAAAATGCTCCCTTACTTCCCCACCATTCCCTACCACAAAAAAAAAAAATTTTACTACTAAAATCAAAGAACCCACATATTATAGAAGAAGTGGGTAAATTCGTCTTCCACTGCCTAAAAAGAAGTCAAACCCAGTAAAAACTAGTACCATGCATGTTATAGAATATAGTATAATGCTAGACGTAGATATAGTCTCACATACCACTGTATTTTCTTTCTTATGTTGTTTGTAACTGCAATTAGCCCTCGGGCAAGTATTTGCAATAAACTTTCTAATTATTTTCTTGCCTTAGGAGTTTGACCTTGCACCAATGAGCACAGACGAGATCTCTGACCTCCTTCTTGAGAAAGGCTTCCGCAAGAAGGAGTCAGAAGATGCTGAGGAGGTTGGAAAAGGCGAGCTATAAGTATAAACTCTGTATTCCCTCCCTTTAGAACCTACTTGGTACATTCCAATTTTGCTTGACAGGGATGAGCTCTCAGTGTTGGTACCTAATGTGGAATGTTCCAAGTTGGCTGAAGAGATGCATACATAGATCTAGAGTGCTGGGAACTGAGAACTCTTATTTGAATGGAACTGTGGCTTATAATAAGTAATTGTGAAACGTGCAGAACTACATGTGTCATAGTACAATATATATCGTAAGGAAATCTGCTGCCTAAATTGACAATGGTTTTGCCATTTTAAACGTGAATGTGAAGTCTTGAAAATGAAAGAAAAAGCAGCTGAAAATAGTCTTGTTCTCCCTTAGTTGCAAAAGGGGGAAAAAGAATTGTCATGTCCTTACAGTATAGATATATAACTTGCATATGTACCACTTCTTTTTAATGGTGTTAACACTACTATACAATGCAGTGATTCTATATGTTAAGTAAGACATATTAAATTACTTTGTGAACAAGTGACACCAACTGAATATGAAAATCCTGTAGATGTACAGAGAAATAGTAGTCTCCACCATAGTAACAATGCAGTCTGAGAGTGAATAATCTGACATTGGAGTTTGGACACCATTTGGGCCAAAACCTGATGTACAAAACCTGCGCATGCATGCGAGCGTACGCCAAATTTTTCCTGTGTGTAAGTCGGCCTTCATTACCTTGAGGGCTGCTGTACAATCTGAACATGTGTCCTTAATGTACGTCAAAGCAGGCAGATTTGCACACTGGAAAAGTTTGACATGAGCAGTTTTTGCACACTGGCATGTTCATGATGTTTTCACAGTCAGGTTTTCGCCCGCATGTAAATCAGGTCCTACTATCCATAACCACATCAATAGCAAGACCTGGTGAAGGCTAGAGAAATAGATCATGAAAACTTATTATTATCAATTATATATGTTGACAAGTGTTAAGTGCCATGTCGCCAGATGAATAAGTGTTGATTGTAATGACATGTTGTATTGTAGCTTTTTGACTTTGAAGACCTACATAGTTGACCATCTAAACCAATGTTGGCTAGTAAGATACAGTAATAAGATTATAATCATGCAATTGTCATATTGAGATACTTGTAAATTACATGTGCGCTTAATCGTATTGAATCATATACATGTGTTACAAATTTAAGTTGAAGATCGTTAACTGAGATATAATACCAAGTTGTTTACTCTGAAATATGATAAAAAATGATAAGCGCTACATGTACATTGTAGGTGGAATACTTTTGCAGAGCATTTTATGAAGCAGGAGATTTTGCCAGTAAGACATTTTCTTCTGAGTTCTCAGTTCCCAGTTGACCCCGTCTTGTCCCTGTGCTGAGGATGACTTATTGCTGCCCTGGAGCGGAGGCGTGTATGAAACTGTCAACTGAAAGTCTACGGTTGGTGGTGGAGAAAATTAGCCAGGAGCCCCAGGGCAGCAAACAAGAAGTCGGCTTGGGGTGAATTTCAATAAAGTCACATTCCAGACTTGAGAGTTTGGTTTCATTTTGTTACATGTATGAATGAATGAATGAGAATTAACCACCTCAAACTTATCATTTATTTCTGCAAGTTCTACATTCAAAACTAGAGTACCATTAAAAAACGGAAGTTCTGCTGCATTATCAAGCTCATGAGACCATATATTTAACCTTGGCCTTAGCCTCCTATTATTAAAGACCTACCCAAATACCAAATATGATAAGCTATGAGGGGTGAGCTGTAGTTCGATTCAATAAGGAGTCATAGAATTTTCACATTTATTATGCAAATTAGGTCAATTTGTATTATAATTGGTATCTGTTGATGTTCCACCTGCCACAGATTAAATAGATTACATGTATAAAAGTACTATTACATAAGACTGTAATTATAGAATTTCCTCCTTAATTATGTCCTCATTTGCATAATTTTCATTTTATTATGTACAACTCTCTCAGCTACCTACACACCAAAAATGATGAAAATATGTTGTTCCTATCTGGACTTATTGGCTTTAGAAGATTTTGCCAGAAAGTCCCCTGCAGTTCCCTAACAAGCAGCTAGGGGGACCAAACCCACACCACCTATTCCTGACAGGAAAAGCTATCTGTCAACAAAATGTTCAGGACAAAAGATACAAAAACTGGAAGTTGTGCTGCAGTACCAAGGTCATCCAGCAGGAGGCCCAGATTTGACCTTGACCTTTGTCTTCTCAAGACTAGCTTATCAGCATACAAAATATCATCACATTCCATAAAGGCGTTATGAAGTTATGCTGACTACAAATGTGCGGAAACACAAACACAGGCACACACACACACAGACACGCCAAAAACAATACTGTAATTCACTTTATGTTCACGGTAGCAAAATTTCACGGTCTGAGAAAAATGGACATGTTCATGTAACTATATGTTCACGATGGTGACAAGTGCAGGAAAAAGAAAGTCCAGGAATTATTTGTTAACTGTAATGATAAGTTCACTGTACACAAGAGACAGTGAAAACAGTGAACTTATCAGTACAGTGAACAAATCAGGAATTACAGTACCTCCATTTTTGATGGAGGTACTTATCGCAGTTTATTGTACACATGTACCATAACAGTCAACATATATCGCACTCTATTTCTGTACGCAAGAAAGGACTAGATCGGTAGAGAGTAGAGACCATGTTTGTTACAGCTGTATTATGCAACACTAGGTAAAAAAAGTCAATTTTCTAGACAATACGGCGAATACGCTACAAAGTAAGTTTAATTAACCCCTGGTCCATTGCAGGTAAGTGTCATTCAGGATACACCGCACTGGAAACACAGCTGTCAGCCATGTTTGTTTACATTCTGGTAGTGTCTGGTGGTGCCACAAAATGAGTGCGTCTCGCGTGGATTGTTTTATTTCCAGCTATAAATGTCACAATAAAAGCACACGCACAGATATTTTGAAAAGTTAAAGTAAATATAATGCCCCTTTAATGGTAAAGGGGCAACGTTTAATGGTAAAGGCAAAGGGGAAACTGTAATAACTACAATAACATATAGGTATAAATAATAATAGAAACAGTAATGATAATGATAGCAGTGGTTGTAGTGTATAAGAGTCTAACAACAAAGGGTGCGCCAACTGTACATGTTTTATGGATCAAAATAGTTTAACAGGAGATATTGGTAGTGATTAAGTATGGGATTTCTAAAAGTTACAAAGGATACGTTCGGACATGGCTTAAGTGATCTGGTGGTGGCCGGTAGTGAGTTCCAAATGTGTACTATTCTTTGAAAGTATTTTACTCCGTGAAGGAGGTCAGGACCTCCGGACGGAGTGTT